GGACTTTTGGACTTGAAGTTACTTTGAGCTACTTTAAGCTACTTCAAGTTACTTTGAGCTACTTGAAGTAGCTTACTTTGAAGTACTTTTCAACTTCAAATGTACCTGAAGTTACTTTAAGCTACTTGTTCCTACTTTGGACTACTTGGGTGGTACCTTGAGCTACTTCAAGTAGTCTACTTTGACGTACTTTGGCGTACTTTTCTACTTCAAGTCCGCCGTTTCCCCCTTGCCCACACCCCACACCCACACCCACACCCACACACCCAACACCCACACTCACGCCCACCCACCCACGCCCACCCACACCCACACTCACACCCTCTTCTATGGAGCCTATAAAATCGAGACAAATAGAATTAGTAGAATGAATGATTCCAGAGCTCAAAAGGTAAACTTATCCTTAATCATAACAAACAAAAAAACAAATTTCAAAATTTACTTAAAATTAACAGAAATATTAGACGAAAACGACTGGTTTGTTCAACTCTAGTGTTTAGCTTTTCAAGTTTCAAACAAAAAAAAAACATATCTATAATAATGAGTGATTAATATTTGAAATTAAATATGCATGAAGCAATGTTACAAAATCCATAGACGAAATATGTTTGTTGCACACGTGTTTTTATCATGGTTGTATATTTATCTTTACGAAAGTTGTTTTTTTTCGAGATTATTTGTATCTAGGATTTATCCAAGTAGGAAGTTTCGAAAGATAAATAAAGATAAAAATAAAATCATTTTCACTATGTGTACCTGCATGGTCTACCAACGCATACTAAGATAAGTATGTTGCATATGGTTTGCTTCTCGACTTAATAGATCGACATTTTAAAACAGATTTATATAATTCGATATGCATTATTACAAAGAATGAAGGAGACATTACTATAAAACTACCATATTTGCAAAAATTTATCGGATTATTTTGTAACGTCTCATATACAAAAAACAAGACTTTGCAAATTGATTGATATATAGTCTAAATATGAAATGTAGATATAACGATGAAGATAAGATCAGAAGTGAGTAATCATCAGATCTCAAAACAATGAAATACATCGTACTTTGGCTGAATAGTTATTTTTTGTTTTTTTTGTATATGATTTTGTGCATGCATGCAAGTGCTACAGTTATTCTTAAAGTAAATGCAATTATTTACACAACGAAGAAAAGCTAGCATGTGTATGATTGTTTCCATCTATGTAATGACACGTGGTTGGGTAGAGATAAGATATCACGTCATTTTTTTTTCCTACTTGGAAATTATTCAGTTTAAATAGAATTTGGACATTAATCAAAGAGTAAGGAAGAAAGAGAACAAGTATTTTTTTATATTCGCTTTCATATAGCATTTATTAAATTCTTTTCTTTGTCTTTTATGTGAAAAAGCACAAGCGAAATACAAATTCGATTTTTAGTTTCTTCCTTCTTTAATGAGGACTATCGTGAATAATATCATACTGATTATAGATGATACCATTTAGATTTTTTCTTTTAGAAGAATAATATTAAATAATTTTGTCAAAATTTAACATGGAACAATCAGTAACGCCCGTCATCGATACCAATTCTTCAGTACTGGAAGAGAATATTGACAGATTGCCGAAGATATTTGATCGTAACTTAATGAATCTTGAATCACATCAATTAGTGTGGCTAGCTTCAAAGCACATACATAATCAAGTTCCAATCAAAATACTAAGAAAAATAGTCGACTATACAAAATTATTCGAAGATGGTGAAGCTTGTGCAAAGTATATAAATGACTCCAAGGAAACACTTACGTTTATGATCATTTCTGATAAAATCAGTGACGATATATTGTCTCGTATAGGCAATTTCAGTCAGGTATTAGGAATTTATATTCACAATATCAACCGCGAAGACAACAATGAAAACTGCGTATCGAACTGTCGAAAGGTGAGTATTCAGATTCATGATTATAATATCCGTATACAAATCATAAATAGCCAATTTTGAATTTTTATGCCTCATAATGTTCGATAAATCTGGTAGATGATTCACGACCATAAATATATTGTATCGTAAATGATAAATTTACAGAGAAAATAAGAAACTGGTATATGTATCGTAATCCAAGGTACATATGACGTAACTGTGTCCTGAAAATCATTATAGAATGTAAAGGTGTTTTGACGTTAGACTCAGTTTCATTTTCCATATTTATATCACCAGTCTGATGTCCATATGTTGGTCATAAATTTATTTCAATCTGTGTCCCTATATTGCTGATGTTCACTTCCAAATATGGTACCTGATATTATAATGTCAGATGTAAGAATCATCAACAAGACTGAGAAGTGAGATTGTAACTTTGTGAATCAAAACTCAGTATAAAAAAGTATCTCACATATATAAGAAATGGTATTTCTTGTTACTAGTGTATCAACCATACCGAAATTCATTCCAATACAATGCAGAGTAGAGATAAGTCGAACCTGGCTTCATTCAAAACAAAAAAAAAATAACCAGTTTAATAACTTTTCTTATTTACAGGTAAACCTAATAGCAAGTGAAATAAATTTGATATTAAAAACACTAGAAAAAGATGTTCAAACATTGTTAAAACAAGACAAAAACATTTTAATGTCGAACAATAATTCGAACTCATTACCGGAAGAAGAAATTACTCATGGTGATAGTTTATCTTGGTGGTCAATATTTCTCGATCGTTTATTGTATTATTTACCATATCCAAAAGAAGAATGTCTACGAATACTTACTGATGTAATGATAAACTATTACAATGGTAATCCTATTGAAATAGGTATTCTCGAAGAATTCCGAGACAATTATATAGCAGAACATGCAATTAAGTGGTACACACGTGAATCATTTGTATACCGTGTATTAAACAAAGCTTTTCGTCAGCGTAATTTATCTCTACTCTTTCTCTTTGGATTTCTCATAAAAGATTTATATGAACAATTGAAAGTTGAATATGAAAAATTCAGATTAATACACTTATCATCTGATGTGATAACAGTATACCGAGCACAGTTAATGTGGAATGAAGAAATTCAAGATATTAAAAATGGTTATAATAAAATTGTTAATTGGTGTTTGTTTTCAACTACACGTAATCGTGATCTTACAGATATCTATTTAAATCAATTCGTACAATTGACAGATCCAATTCAAAATGTTTTATTTGAAATAAAAATCGATTTTAGAAAGACTTCCTATCCATATGCCGATATTTCAAATTTAAGTTATTTTCCAAATGAATCAGAAGTTTTATTTATGATTGGAACTACATTTCATTTGACAGATGATATTGTGTATAATGAAGTTGAAAAACGATGGTTAATTAAATTAGAATTAGAAGAAGATAGACGAAAAATAATAGAGAATAATAGTCTTCCAAATTCGAACAATAATGTTAGTATACGATCTTGTCTCAAAAGAGTAGTTCGTACTCTTCTTCAACGTATTGCTGTAATGTCAACAGATGATATATACATCATATTTGAGAAAATATCTGAATTATTTCCTACAGAGACGAAATGGCTTTTTGCTATTGGATCTCATTGTGTAGCTAATCATATAGATCATAGATATGGCAATGCTTACGTCCAATTTTCATCAAGATTAGCTATTTATAACAATGCATTAGTAATCTGGCAACAATATATAGATGATATCGAGTTAAATTGTTATTTGGATATGGGAGATATACATATGGAAATTGGTCGATGTTATACACATTTTTTGTTTCGAGATTATAAGAAAGCTGAAATTCACTTTAATTTAGCTTTAGAAAATTATGAACTAGCACAAAAAAGTGTATTTATTGGCAATAACGAAAAAACAGATGTCTATGAGAATGTTATTGATATTTATCAGATAAAGACTGATCATGGAGACAAAAGTAGCAAGACTCTTGAAATGGCTATAAAAAATAGACAAAGTTATGTTGAACATTTATTAAAATCCCGTGATTCAAACGATATTACGCTTGTCGAACCTTTTGAAAGACTGGCAGAGTTATATAAATCCGTCAAAAAATATGATGAAGCACTAATAAATTATGAAAAAGCGTTGGAAATCTCCAAAACTCAAGCATCACTTGATTATAACGGTATTCTACGTCAAGCTAAAGAGATCGTTGATATTTATACAAAATACAAAAATGATCCTTATTCAGCAATGAAATATGAAGATATTATTCGCGATATGGAATCTAAAGAAGAAGTGAAATTCGGACGGTTTATGACAGCATTAGACCTACACAAGCAAAGAGCTGTAGATTAAATGCGAATTTTTAATTTAAAAAGCTTTTCTTTTTTAGCATTCAGAAAGACTCGAAATATATCTATGCAAATTAAAACACCCAAGTCGACTTACTGGTAATTTGCATCTTTAGTGTAATTTGAGCTGTTAGGCAAACTCTCTTCAGGATAAGTGGTAGATGCGAATGTAATTATAATCGAAGTTGTCGTTGTCAGTTTAGATGTTCGTATAATTTGGGGTGTGGGTGTGGGTGTGGGTGGGTGTGGGTGTGGG